TTACTGGGCAGCTTTGAAGGCCTCTTGAGAACTACGTAATGGTAAAAAAAACTGTTTTTGAAAACAATTTTTCCGTCGTCGTTTTGACGACGTACTGTTTATGGATGAACGTTTGTTCGGGAACACTTCCGTCTTTTCTGAGAAATCGATGCGCCCTGTTTTCTGTCACTTAGAGGTTTGACGTGATTTGGTGTTTGCGAAAGATCTCAGCAGGGTGTATGTCGCATGGTAGTCACAGCTTTCTCCGTCTTATTACCGGTAACCTGAACTCGATAAGGTTTTTAGGCCAATTCCACCGACTTGCAAACCCATCAATTCACCTTCTTATACTATTTTTTATACATGTATGCGCCATCAAAAAGGTTCTCTCGTTATCATGCGCCATAGAAGAACGGATTGCATCTCTTATCTACTCTGATGAAGGTCGTAGAGATGAACGAAAGTCAAAATAGGTCGTTTCCATTTTATCACTAAATATACTCTTGCAAATAGTGTGCAAAGCTGTTCTCCAACTCGTCAAATTTGGTCTTTCTGTACTGGTTCTAGATTTATCGCTTTTATCCCATCCCTCGTGCGCGTATATGTCAAAAAGCGTTCGTCGCGGCGAGTCTTTTAAGCAGTTCGGACACAAAGCGAGAGAGGTCAGATGCACAAAAAGAATAACAAACTCCAAGGCCGGTTACAGAAGAAAAAACCTACGTGAGTCTGGATTGTTACAGCGTCAAGGAAATTATATGTAGCGTGTCTTGAGCGTTTGCAGTATGTGTGTTTTCAATTCAGTTCCAACGCAACTCGTTTTTAAAAATTGGGCAAAATATTTACCGCAACCCGTCAGTAAAAACGTGTGCATGTATCAGCCAGGTTAACAAGAGTAGAAGTCACTTTGAGCAAGCTACGTTCTCTGTCAAAAACAGAAGTCGTTCATACAAGCCTTTTTTTATCTCGCGCCTGACCACTGCCAAAAGGTAAAGAATCCCTAACCTTGCTTAATATACGTAAAAATCAACTATCTTGATTTAAAATTGCGAGTAAAATATTGCACTGAAGTATAACATTGCAGTATGGATTGCTTCCACAAAATTAATTGGTTTGACGGTTGATCTGACCTTACGTAAAAAGGTACGAAAACCAGACGGTTCAAGTTTCAGTAAACAACGGATTTTGAAAGAAGTTAAAGAAAATATTTGTCACAATAAACAACTAACAATTTTCTGCCATCAAATACGCGTTGGACTATTCAGTGAGCGAAGGAAGACGAAAGAACTACTTCGACGAAGCCTAGTACGAGAGCTGACATCCGAAAATGCTGGGAAGAGTCCCGACTCGCGAGCGCTCACAAGTGAGTATTAGCCGCTCTCCCACCCCTTGGGGTTATATTGAATTCCATAAAACAAAATATCTTATTTTGTAATAATGTTTAAGAGAACTACAGATTATGTTCGTGACTCAACAGAAACCCTGCCTAAACTTCCTT